GCGGCGGACCCCCGGAGCGGGCGGCGCGAGTGCGAGCGGCTGCGCCCCGCCGCCCGCGGCAGCCCTCCGTCGCGGGTCGTCTCCCTCCCACGCGCTCATCAGCAGCGCGCCGTCGGGCTCGCGGGCGGTCACGCGGGCGATGCCGAGGGGGGCGGGGGCGGGGCCGCGCGTGACGGCTCCGGTCGCGTCGTACTTTGAGCCGTGGCACGGGCACGCAAACCCGCCCGGCCCGGCCAGCAGCGCCACGTCCTCCTGCACGAGGCAGCCCAGGTGCGTGCACTCCGCCTTGATTGCGTACTCGAGGAGTCGGCGGGTCGGAGGCGCAGCCTCGCCCTCCGAGCCGGCGGCCGGCCGGACAGTCTCGGTCAGCAGGAAGTAGGGCTCGCCGTCCAGGCCGAGCACGAGCTCCGCGCGCGAGTGGTCAGCCGAGAGCCAGGCCGTCTCGGTGACGCCCGCACCGTTCCGGTCGGTGACAGGCTGCGGCGGCGATGGCTTGCGGGCGGCGGCCGCGGGCGCGCCCGAGCTCAGCGCGCAGCCAATGCCGGTCGTGATCGCAGCACGCCGGCCGGCGAGAGGTGCACTGGAGCTGCTGCTGCCGCCGATGAAGCAGCCACCGATGCCGTTGCTGCCGCCGCTGCTGCCACCGCTGCTGCCGCCGCTGTCGATGCCGTGCCTGCGTGGCTGCGAATATCTAGCGATTGCTGCCGCTGCCGCTGCGGCGAACATGGCGTGGCGAAGTTTTTCTTCTTTTGTAAAGCAAGAGAGCTCATACCGAACGGGCGTGGGGGAGTGTATCCGGGAGTAGCTACAAAACAAAACAGCCGGGCCCCAATCACAGAAGAACTCGCGTCCGCAAGAAGTGTCGCGGAACACCCCCGGACAACGGAGCAAACCGCGCGACGCGCGTAGCGCCCTGAGAGAAGCCTCCAGAGCCACGATGCTCTCGTTCGCGCTGCGCTATCCGCTCGCGCTCACGCTGGTCAGCCTCTCCAGCGCTTTCCGGCTTCCTGCGCAGCCAAGCCTTCCGAGCCGTCCAATACTCTCCGCCGCCGCTGCCGCCGCCGCTGCGCTGCCGCCCGCGCTCGAGGCACGCGCTGATGAGGCAGCGTCTTTGCTCGCCGCTGCACCGGAGGCAGCCTGGCTGAGCAGTGGTGAGGTCCACGAGCTCGGCTTGTACCTCGCCAAGACCGTCATCTCGTGGGGTGTCCCTGCGGGCGTGCTGGGCGCCGCCGCAATCGCCGTGGTCTCGGCCGGTGCCCGCGCCTCCTCGGATGGATCGGATGATGCGCCAATGCTGCCGCCGCCTCTCGCCAAAGCTCTCGGAGTGGGAGGAGAGCCCAAGGAGTACCTCCAGATCGAGAAGCTCAACGAGAAGCTCACCTCCTTCGAGTACTCGCTGCGAAAGGCGTCTGTGTCTCCCGCTTCCGCCACACGCGAGCGCGCGCGCCAGTCGCTGGCGCGGCAGTTCGGGTCCGAGTTCGCCGCCTTCGGGCTGGACGCGGCGACTGTGGAGCGCGTGCTCGAGGCGACCAAGGCATACCGCAAAAAGGAGGAGCGGCTGACCTCCCAGATCGAGAAGAAGCTGATGGCGGTGCGCGCAGACAAGCTGCTCGCAAAGGGGGGCGGGAAGGGCGGCGGCAGCAAGCACGCGGAGGGCGAGGCGTCGGCCGAGGGGGAGGAGCAGGGCGGCGGCTTCCTCTCGGGCGGCGCCCAGGTATTCGCACGCATGGGAGGCGCGATGGGCAGCAGCGCCGCGATGAAGGAGGTCTCGAG